TCCCATCCAAACCCACATGTACACGGGAGTCTTCAGGATACTTTTCCGAGGGTGCAGTTGTTGGGTTCAAGGTTATACATGTTTGTAATTTTAAAAAGTACTTACAAATGGCCAGAGGGGTGTAAATTGGTCCAAGCAGCATGGAAAGGTGTAGAGCCTGTAGGTGCCTCGTGGGACACAGTGAGACGGCTCAAAACAGTAAATGAAGAGGGGGTGGGGAACGGAAATATGCGCAGGAAGAAGGCAGGAGAGAGGCTGCTCTAGTGACATGGCTCTTGAGATCCACACTGTGACCTCTGAGTATCTTCCCTGACACTCCTGGTTCCCTGTGTGCCCTGTGACACTGGGTCCCCAGAGACTGTCGCCATTGCTGAGACACCCATCATGGAGACCCTGAAGTGGAACATTCATGGCTGTACTGGGACAGGGCCTCCTCATTCTACTCTCTAACCCTTCACACCTCCAACAGACTCACTGCAGCAGCCCGGCTGGCTGGGCAAACTAACCAGGGGGTGACAAGGAACTTGTGTAGATTGATACAGCAGGAGTGGGAGCCCTTTATTGTAGGACAGGAGGGGTACATTACTGAATACACAGCTTATCTTAATTAACATAAACTAGATACAGCAGTCAACCAATAAGGAATCTCTACACTTAATGGCTTGCTGGCCTTACTTCTCAAACCACTCCCTCTGGCAAAATGCCAGGCGCCATCTTGACTTGTTTACAGACCCTAACAAATCACCATCCTAAAATGGTGCATGGACCCTTGACTTCCATGATGACTGCCCTTCAGTGTCCCGCTTGCTCAGGCCATCCAGTGTCCCAGCATAATGTTCCTATGGCACTCTGGGGACACTCAGACTTGCCAGGGCACTGGAACCACTAGGGGGCTTGTTGAAAATGTCAACCTGAGGTCCCAAGTGGGATCTAACAAAAAGAAAGTCCAAACAGAGGGCCCAGGAGTCTGCATTTTAACAAACACCTGGGTGACACAGACAGACTCCAGTCATTGGGAATCACGCTGTAAGGCCTGGTACAGCTTAGCCCCATTCAACCCTCCTGAGGGTAGCGCCCCACAGTCCCCCCAACCCAAACCCAACATCTGGGCCACAAAGAGCTCCTTGTTCTCATGCCACATGCTGAGTGGTTGCACAACCACATCATCTGAGACACTTATTGAGG